TAATACACTATTGGGATTGGCCTCTCAGATATCCTGTATATACAGTTTAATAATAACTATAGGGAATTAAAGGGAGAGAGAGAAAGAAAAGTTAATAAATATTTTTAAAACAATATTTTTAGGAAATTAATTTTTATATAAAACTATTAATTGTTACCGCAATTGTAGCATTAATATAATGTCATTATTGGGAACATATAATAACTAGTTTTCCAATTTAAATATATTGTATTATCACAATTTTATTTTTTATTTCTGATAATCTATACAATTGATCCACTTACAGTAACTATCATAATGTATATAATAAATTAACGATAATACATACGTAAACCTTGTAGTGATAACACTAACAATACAATGAAATTATATTATTCAATCCACTTTCAAGTTTTAAGTGTCATTTCATAACCTAGGTCGTGATAATGTTATAAACAATTTAAGTACAAAATGCGATTATAAATGACAATAATTTTTTTTCATAGAATTCATTGCATTTCTATTAAAAGTACTGAAAATAGATTATATTTTTGCTATTTATTTCACTCATACAATAGTTATTGACATATTCACCATAAACAACATTAAAAATATTATTTATACTAGTATCTAGTACATAAATAGTGTAGTAAATAATAATTATTTTAATACCTTATAATATAACCTAATTAAACAAATATCCTGTTTTAATGGCAAATGACCAAGTACGACACACGTTTCAATTAAAGGTGATAATTACTGTTTGTTTATCAAACTAATTGTAATACTGACACTCAATTCATGTGATTTGATTTTGTGATAAATTATTTCATAAATAAGTACAAAGTACCTTTTGTACTAAATGAGTTAATATAAAATGATCATATTTAGTAAACTAGATTAGTTATGTTCTATGCTTAAAGTGGTAATGATTAGAAAAAATTAATATATGCTATAAAATAATTTTTAAATCATATAATTTTTACTGAAATTATTAATTAGTTTAATAAAATAGACTCCATTAATAATGCATAATAAAATGATCATGTTCATAATGTTGATAGTGATCGTGGCATTGGTTTTTAATTTTGATTTCACGATCTCTAGCCTCAATCAAAACTTATTAAGAAATATAAAAGAAATTAAAAATAATTTTATTAATAATACTAATTATGGCTATTCTTACGGTGTAAATGGTGTCAAGAATTTTAAACTTATTTCTACACAAAATACTACAGAATTTAACACAGAATTCAAGAATAATTTCCAGAATTTAATTATTAATAATCAAATAAATGACACAAATATTAGTGATAATTATGGCGCATATCTGGTGAACACAAATACTTGTCGTATAGTCCGGTGGCCTATTATTGATGACCAGGTGCTGCCCCTGTATGTGAATATGTCGGGCAAACAGATCGAGTGTAAAGGACCTGAAAATAAGTACAACATATCAATAGAGAGATACAATTTTACGGGAATTAAAGTCACGAGTGATTTGAATAAAGTGTTGAATTGTTGGGCAAAAAGTGTGAAAAGGGTTGACAAGTCCGACGTAAGCGTCGACTATATTAATGAAGTGGTGTTTAATTCATCGCAAATACAGTACTTTCCAAACGATATCGCAGTTCAAGTCAATTGTACTCTATATGAAGGTTTGATTTTTTGATATAATATTTTATTATTTAAAATACAGTTACTAAAATAATTTTCATAATAAATAGTTATTAAAATAAAGCTAAAATCATTTAACGACATATTTATTTTACTTGTATAAATATATATTTCTTGATAAAGTTAACTACAGTATTAAAAATACATGTCAATGAATATAAAGTTGCTAAACAATTATATTATTAAATTATAACATACAGTGAAATGGCAAAATGAACTGAACTTTATGCAAAATAATAATAGTGATAAATGTTGAGGTCACTATTTGGTAATAAATTATTAAACTAAAATTGTATATATGTAACATATTGAAAATCTCATGACAAACAAAAAATAAATAATAATTATAGCTATGCACTATTGACCGTAATGTTATATACGGTAATGATATTGTATTATACTGTATTTATGACTTAAAAGTTACTTTAAGTGTATTGCAAAAAAAATATTTGTTACTAATATAATAATTTTAGTTTTATGAGTAAAACCTTTTTGAAATGTAGATATTTATCAAGAAATATTATACTGTACTGTATATTAATTTTACAGAATTGTGAAAGCTTATTATATTGTGAAAAATGAGCAGGAAAATTATTTTGCTTGTCGTGTGTATAGTTATTATTATATTAATATACGACTATTATGTCGTGAATGTGAATCGCAAGCATAAATTAAAAATTAATTTAGCACGTGTTTCTAAAACTGTAATAAATCACCCTTATCATAAAATTGTAAAAAAATTCACTCATAATTCTACAGTGAATACAGAATTTAACAAAAAATTCAATAATAATCACAAAAATGTAATAAATAATAATAATATGAGTGAATATAATGCCATAAATTCTGGCGCATACCTCGTGAGCACCAGTAGGTGTCGTATAGTCCGGTGGCCGATGATTGACGACCAGGTGCTACCCCTGTATGAGAATATGACGGGTGAATGGATTGAGTGTAAAGGACCTGAAAATAAGTACAACATATCGATAGAGAGATACAATTTTACGTCGATTAGAGTGACCAGTGATTTGAGTGTACTTTTGAAGTGTTGGGCACAGGGTGTCAAACGGGTCTCGGAGTCCGACGATGACATATACTATGACAATATAATTGAGTTTAATTTTGGTGTTGTTATAGACTTTCCCAATGATATCGCGGTGTATGTTAACTGTACTTTAAATGAAGGTTTAGTGAAATATATTTGCAGTTTTTTGATTCATAAAATATATAGTAATGTTAAATAATTAATTTTAGTTATGAAACTGTAATGTTAATAATATTGTAAAAATATAAGCACTTCAAGTAATAGTTATTTTATTATTGGTGTGCGTCAGCCTTGGCAATTTAAAATATTTTTAATTTTAAGTAAATTAAATAATTTTTAAAATAAATGTTACTAGTATTTCACAAAATGGTCTAGCTACTTATTAAATAATTATTTTTTATATACTCAGAAAGCTATGAGAAAGTGGTACCACTTATACCAGTGATAGAGTCGCCATCTGTCCGGGAATTACCGGAAACTCGAGACCTTCCGAACGTATTGCTCGTTGGCATCGATTCGGTGTCGAGACTGCAGTTCGACCGACACTTTGCCATCACTGCCCGCAATATAATCAGTGGACAGAGGTTTCACACAATGTATGGCTATAACAAAGTGGCTGACAATACCTTCCCAAACCTCACACCACTTCTCACCGGACATTATGTCGAGGACCTCTGGAATGAAACTATGAATGAGGCGTTTGACTACTTTCCCTTCATATGGAAAGTATGTTTTGATAACTTAATGTAAATAATTTTTAAAAATGTTTTCAAATTTAATTATAGGAATACCAACTGAAAGGCTACCGAACCCTATATATGGAAGACGCGCCAAATATGAATACATATAATTATGGGCGACGAGGGTTTGTCGACCCGCCCACTGACTACTACCTCAGACCATATTACCTGGCTATGGATGGCATGACTGATGAATATTGTTATTTAGATAAACCGGAAGTTGTGGTAAATTTTGAAATTTTAATAAATAATTTAGTTTTACATTTTTAGATAAATTAAATAACGTTGAAATAATTAGCTATTTAAATTTTGTTTACAAATAATACTTTTGAACTAGAGTCTAAATAAAATTTAAATCATTATTTCTAAGTTGGTATTTAAAAGCAATTTAAAAGTTTATTGCTAAAATAATAGGAAATTTATTTTTTTATTCAATTTTAATACGAATTTTATGATAAGAAATAAGATTTTATTCAATTTCAGGTATATTACGAGTATTTGTTGGACTTTATCCGTGCAATGAATGCCAGAAAACAGAAGTACTTTGCGTTTCATTTCATGGCTCGACTCACACACGATATCCTAAATAACGCCGGATTTTATGATCCAATTTAATTGCAAATAGTCGTCGAAAAAGACACAATTCAATATTTATTAGTAAGTTTGTGTCACTATTACACACAGCATACCTGTCCCATTTCCATTGCTTCTCAATGTGTTAAATGTGTGCAAACTCTCCCTTTAATTCCCTATAGTTATTATTAAACTGTATATACAGGATATCTGAGAGGCCAATCCCAATAGTGTATTAGAAAAACTTTAATCTCCCAATATTGCTTCAAACTTTGCATATAACTTGCATGTAAAGTTTGAAGCAATATTGAAGGGATTTATCTAGAACATTTTATGAAATATTCTACAAATTTATTGGTAAATAAATGCATAATAAATTATTGTTCAAGTTTAATTTTAGATTAGGGTTTGGAAAAAGTTATGCAATGTTTGAATGCTCATAGTATTAATCAATTATAAAATTATTTTACATTATAACTAATTATTAATATATGGTATATATTTATTTTAAAATGTAGGATGGCTACAATGACAAACTAGGTAAATCGGCAATTAGATATATTGCTCTTGATTACAAATATTTATACGACAACTTAACAAGACAGCATGGTAAAACCAGTGTAATTGCTGAGAAGAGCATGTTACTGTACAACCTAAATACTAAAAATATTACCGATCATTACGTGTCAAATGAGCATGCTGATTCTACATTCTCAATCAGTCTCGTGGGTTTCCCAATTGCTAAAACATCGACTATAATAAACATGGACATTTTAAATAACATGTAAGTTGTACTACTTAAAATATATATGTTAATTTACATATTTAATAAAGGTTAATTCGGATACGGGAAGCTGGTTTAATACATCATTGGATGCAAGCATTGAAATTAAATTGTGATCAACAGTTAATGAATGCAAAACAATATACGGATTATTTTGACCTGAAATATGAGAATTTAAAATTTATATTTAATATTTATTTGCAAGGTGCAATTGTGTTCATTGTAATATTTATTCTAGAATATTGCTTAAAATATGTAAAAATATTATTTTCTAAAATTGTACATAGTAAATCATAGTATTTTTTAGTGATTACTTATTTAAAGTTATCATTTTAAATAGCAGTCACTTTTCTGAATCTATTTTTTATCCGAAAATCAATTGTAACAAGTATTATTAAAATAATTAAATAATCAATGTGCATAAATAATGTATTAATATATCACGCTGACAGCATATGTTTAACAAATAACTTTATAGCAGACGTGGCCAGACATTATTTACTAATGTTTTTTATAGTTAAAAATTTTAGAGTACATCCTAATTAATGTTATATTATTGTACAATTTTTATAATCCCTTGCATTATTAGTAATTAATAATCCTTACTCACACATGTGTTTTGATATTTGTGTTTAGTTTTTAATAAAATGATTACAAGTATTGTAATAATGCTCACTCTTACCCACCTATAATCTTTTAATTGATTTATTAATTCTATGAGACATCAAGGTTAGTTTTAAAAAAACTTAATCTGTACAATGTAATAATGTTATGCAATAGCTTAATTTATAAAGTGCATTTGTTCTAAATAGATATTTTTAATTTGTGTTAAAGTACTTGTAAAGTACTTAATAAATAAAAACATTTAGTCATAAAAATATTACATAATATGTTTCTTGTGCTCTAAATTGTTAAAACATTTTTCTATAAACGATCCAGGTACATGTATTGTTTTCTCAACGGATTCAAAATATAATCATAATAATTTTTACATGTTTTATATGTTTTATAACAATTTCATAACAATATTACGCAATAAAGCTATTCATTAAATTTTAAAAACATTTTTATATAAATGATACAGGTGCATGTATTTATTTTCATATAAATTCATTTGATTCAAAATATAATCATGATAATTTTTACTATACAAGTTAAAATAATTCTAAGATATAAATAGATAAAAAATTGTTTTGTATATTAGATCAATAAAAATTCAAAATTTAATTAATTAAATTTAATTTATTTAAAATACAATAAAAATTAAATAAATAGAGTATGTGTGTTTTGTCCTTATTATAATAAATTTCATAAATAAATTTGAATAAATTTTCATTGCCACTACTAAAACATTATATTAGATTTTAATTAAATATGAATTATCTTGGTATATATTCGTCATAGTATTAGAGCAAAATATAACAAACTATAAGCCAACCCACATAAATAGTTTGATAATATTGTGCTGGATGTTGGTGTCATTTATAATAACCACATGCTATTCGATGTCTATTTATTCATTCATTTCGGTTCCCATTGAACACCGTATAGAAAGTATTAATCAACTGATCCGGAGTCAAGTTTCCGGACAAATTCAAATGGTTGTCGAACGGAATTCCGTTTATCAATATATCTTGGTAATTATCATAAAATAACATTGATAAATACATTTTCTAGTCTATGTTCATTTGAAAGGATTATCACAATAAAGTGCATGGCTACGAAATGTTCAAATATAATATG